AGCAGGCCTACTGACAATGAATTTACTCTTTGTATGACAAAAATATATCCGGTCGGCTGGATAGACTCTCACCCTCAAAGGGAGCAGACTGAACATCATGATGATAGAGAGAGGAGAGGAAAAATAATGTTGGTTAATTAAAACAGATGCCATCAGTGCTGAATACATTAATACTACCACAACTGCATTAGAGCTGAATCAGTCGGATTAAGGATGACTAATTGATTGAGAAAATAATCAACTAATTCAGTCATCGATTAATCATTTGGTGGAGTATACATACTCTAAAACATTTACTATTTACTGAAAAAATAACTAACTCAGAAATTAAACCAAAACTGTTCAACTATAAAAGCCTTTGAATTTTTGAAAAAGGGCTTCTTTAATATAAATATTCACAATCCAGAACTACTAAATTGATGTATTTTTTTCATATTTTGTGAATAAACTTCTATAAAGCACAGTTATTATCTGATTATTAACTGGTCAAGCAAAGGATTAATGAACTACCAAAATACTTTGGAGTTGCAGCCATAATATGTATTTCTTCAAAATGCTTTGCAGTCCTAATAAGAACTGATTGACCAATACAGGTTTTAAAGGCTGATTTTTCGGGTGGCTGATTCTTGGTTTCTCGATTTCCATGAAATAATGTCACAATGATAATAAATGTTACACAAGTCTCAATTTCAACAAAAAGACATTGGTTAAAGACTCAAAGAAAATATTAACAACTGATGCACTGCAGCTAAGCATCGGTCTATACAGATACAAGAAAACAACCTTAAAGGTATAGTGGAGGATGTTCTTTTTCCAGGTGAATCATCAAAATAAGTGGCCCTCCTAATTTTCAATCATTCTGGTTATACGTTTACGTAAGCGGTCCTATGTGCTTGTCCCCATTTTCACTTACTAGTGGCGAGTCTGACATAGTGGAAAAATTGCAAATCTTGTTTTGGAAAGTAAGCTTTTATGAGCGATGCAAACAGCAACTTTTAAACAGAGAGTGCACGAGGAGAAATGGGCTCCTGCACACTCTCGCAAAGGTTTAATAGACGTTCCCTTTCAGAGCAGGTACGGGGTTGTGCATGTGCATTTCTTTTTAAATTCGTGAAAATCCTCCACTATACCTTTAAATGTACCTATATATATTTATAGAGCAGCAAAGTTTAAAAGCAGTGATGAATGTGTTGTTTATTTTTCCATTTGACATAAAACTAAAAGCAATGTGTCCCAAGAACAGCCTCCCTTTAGTTCACAGCAAAGGCTTTTCATTGATGGCTCTATTTGGAGCTGTCGGTCTGTCAACCATCAGAGGTAGGGATGGAAACAATTAATAAACTCACCATTGATTGTTGATTAATGCGGGGGTGGGGGGTTAGAGTAGTTGCAAATACCTGGTTCGATCCCCACTGCCTCAACTCTGGGTCATGAGCAAAACTCTTAATCCCCCACTGCTCCCCAAGGGGATGGGTTAAATAAAGAGATAAAGAGGGGAGTGGCAGCCTAGTGGTTAGGGCATAGAGCTTGGAATGCTGAGGTTCTAAGTTTGAGCCCCTTTCCCCAAGACTGCCACTCTGGGTCCCTGAGCAAGACCCTTAACCCCACTTGCGCCGCGCAATGGCAGCCCACTGTTACCCAACGGGATGGGTTAAATGCAGAGAGTTCATTTTGTTGCTTTTTCCTATAATGACAATAAAAAAGCTGGGGGAAAAATTATCTAAGCTAAAAGAAAACCACGGGTGGGAGACACAGGCAACATAAAATAATATGTACTATAGGCAGTTTTTGTATATTTGAAAGCCAACACTACAAATGCCAACACCGTCCTGTGGAAAAGAGTTTTAGAGGGACAGGGGATTTGGTCAGAGTAAATGCGATGCTTGATGGATGGAGCTAAACATTCAGACTGGGGCAGAGCATCCACCCCAAGCAGGGATTCAGAGCTATAATGCAACAGTTTAGATGAAAAGCATGTTCAGTGTGTATCTTGAAATTGCCAGGTGGAAGTCTAGATTTAAATACAAATTGAGATATGTGGCCAAAACTCTAGCCTCTTTCCAAAGAGGAATGAGAGAAAAGAAAGATCCATCACATAAAGTCTCAATTAAATACACTGAAGTGTGTGATGAAGGCACGACTAAACATGAAAACGTTCAAGTCACTTAAATACTTTTGCAGATGTCATGGAGGAAAAAAACAAACAAAAAAAAAAACACACAGTTTATAAAGGACTGTATTACAAACTAGATATAATGTGAAACAATATTGTCCAGTAGGAATAAATCTTTAAAATCTTTCTCTCTTTAATCATTTTATCATAAAGTTCCAAGTTAGAGAGTCAAATCTGATTCTTTAGGATACCGGCTAATCTCAAGATTTGTCAATAGGAGCTCCAAACAGCAGCAGATCTCACCGTCCACATGAGAAACGGGTTAGGAAAGCCCTGGGGTCTACAACGCTGCAGAAGTCAGGAGTGTGGGAATGTAAGGCTTTGTGCAAACAAACTCTTGAGATACCCCTCGTCTCTCACTTCTCAAGGCCTCGCAACAGCTATTAGCCAGGAAATCTTATTTCATCATCCTGATGCCCATGTGAACTGAAAACATGCTGCTCTTTTCCTGACACTATTGTCCTATCTTTGCACTTGCATACATAAATCCTCACCGAGCCATGCTGCCACAAAGCATAAAGATGACAAGGAAAACATGAGGAAAGCATACGAGGAAAACATTTCCCATGTCCATTTAAAGGTGGCGACAGTGCTTTCACAAGAATACATCAAAGATATTCTGACATTGAGTAACTCTTATGGACAAAAACATTTTCATGTTGCTAGCCTGTCTACTTTTCAACATATGCTGCTCATATTTCAAAACAAACACAGCATCCAAATCAGTAACAAAATGTTTTATCTTAACATTTTAACTACATTTTAACAGCCCAGCTTCATTGAAAAACAAAACAGAAGAAAAGCAAGCATCAAAAATATATAGTTTATTACAAAAGGTTTGTTGTTAAAGATTGATGAGAGCAGGATAGCGCTGGATTGCTTTGCCGTGTTTAAAACAAGTGATAAGCCAAAGCGTTTGTTCCAAGAAAGATCATGAAAATATTAAATTAGGCATATATTTGAATTCACTCAACCTATTAAACTGAAAGGAGTTTATACATTTTGTTTAATGTTCATAAAGTTTATCAGCTGCATTCAAGGGAAAATTGTCGGATTCCTGTCTTTAGCCAACAGATAAGTTCCTTCTTAGTACAAATTTTCAGGTGTAAGCTTCAGAAATGCCTAAAACACAGCTTTCTATGGGAAGTTAAGTAGTAGGCAATTAATTAGGTATATCTAAACTTAGAGCTCATACTAAGAATTTAATATATGGAACACAGATAAACTTATATAAAAATGAAATCTTCTATAACAAGTTTACTACTACCACTTTAAGGCTTTACTGTTTTTATTTTAAGATACAATAGTTAGAAAGAGTGCATCCTCTTGGTTAAAATTTTACAATTTACAAGATGAAAATAAATCTGAAAGAACTCCTGCTATATTCCTTCTAGCATCAATAAGGATGAATAATACAGCCTTAATGTTTTCCTTCACACACGTTAAAAGCCCCTTTTTCAGAGCACAGAAAACGTGGCTCTAGTTTCCTTTGAATATTTAAGCACTTTTGTGGACATGGACTGGCATCAGGACAAAATATATAAAAAAAAAAAATGCAGCAAAAATAAAACTGCATTAAAGTGGAACAGAGTGATTCCTAAACAGCTGCTTTTTCTATGGGTGTAAGAAAATAATATTCTATTGAATATAGGGATATTTTATTAGAAGATATTGCTATCGATTCAAAATATGGCAGAATGGATCTTTAATGTAATTTCTCTCTGGGATTACTAAAGTATGTCTGATTCTGATTCTGGAATGTAAAAAAAAAAAATCTATTCATGTGCAAACATCCATCTCAAAGTTTTACTTTTATATAACACTTAAACCTCCAGGTAGTTTGCAGCACACCGCCAAAGAGCCTCTTATTCAGCTGCTGTGCACCAGCCCAGAGCAACAAGATCTGGTGATGTTTTCCAGAGGTATATTATATTGGCTATATATATCTTCTTTGTAAATGTATTGGGATATATGCAGGTAAATCTTATCGTGAAGCATATCTTGTAACTTCATACCCCTAGTTTTTTCACTGCAGAAGTGTCCCTTTGTTAAAAGTTAAGAAATATCATACTCTACAGCAAAACAAGCTCATTTGGTTAAATAAAGGCTAATTAAAAGACAGATGGGGTCTAAATATTACTATGGGTTCAATGGAAAATTAATAAACTATTCTGAAAGCTCATTCTTATCATGTATTTATTACCTATTGCAGTTATGTTTGTCACTTAAAAGTATGGCTCAACCTAAAGTGGTGTTAGGAATGCTATCTGACTGGTATGTGGGGCACCTACAGTAGGAATCAGTGGAAACTAATCTGTTTACTACAAAAAAGTGTTTATGATGAAGAAGGTATGGGTTTCAGTTCACCCTAAACTCTCCAAGCTGACCACATGCAGCATGTTTAGCATGTTTCCTTGCTCACACTACTTTTTCCCCTTTTTGTTTTTCATAGGGTTTAAAAAGTGTTTTGTTCACATTAAAGTGTTCGATTCGTGGTTTAAATGCCGTGCATACATTCAAACAAATTAAATTGTATATAGATTATCTGAACTAGATATCTACTCCATGCCCTCTGTGATTAACTTCATGCATTTATTGTGCTTGAGAATTTAGCTTCATGTGTTATTGGAAACTCGACTACAATGAAGTGAAGCTAACTTAAACTATACTAATTATCTTCTTTTAGAACACCTTAAAACCACTTTTAAAAGACTGCGTTAAGTTAGCTATGCTAACAGATAGCCACTGAGCTAATGCTAGTGGATGCTAGGCCCCTCTCTTCACTGCAGAATGGATCAGTTAAGATAGTGCACTGAACTGTGTTTACCTTGAAGATGACGAGAAAACCGAAGCCTCCGCTAATTCCGTCTGATCAGGTAGATCCAGGAAGAGATATCCATGGAAGCTCAACACTGGAAGCCGAAGCTTGATTCTTTCCCCCCCAAACAGAAGCAGAAGCAGCAGTCGGCTTGCACCTGACTATCCGCCGCTAACGTTAGCACGACCGGCTAGAGGAGCCAAGTTCGTGCAAAACACCGCTAACGTTAGCTGCACGGGTATAATAAGTGGTCTGCTCGAACCCTTGGCCCAATTCTTGTTGAGTTCAACTTATGGTGGTCTCGGATAGTTACAAGGGGGGAGCACACCCGCTGAGAGCAAACTGTATTTTAGTTATGGTTGTTTTTTTTTAGCTGTTTCAGGCTCCTCAACAAGCGGCTGCTTTGCTCGTCTCTACCGACTACTGAGAGTGGTGGTCGCAAAGTGATGATGCGACGGTTTTGTTCGCTCCACTGCGCCCAAATATGACGTAATTTACGTAATAACATTTGTGGCAGAAAATAAAGAATTGAAAAATATAACGTTATCATCATTTAAAAATTAAATAACCACAATACTAATAATGTAAATAATAGCAATAATAGCAGAGAGGCACACTGAACAAGAATTACGTTTTGAATTCACACCCAAATAACAAATATACAATAAATTGCATAGGTCCTTGTAAAATAATAAATTAAAATGATAAATAAAATAATATATAATAATAAATTAAAATACAGTCTGAAAAGGATATATAGGCAGAAACAATATGCTTTTAATGCCCATTTTCCAAAACTTATTTACATCTGACTGAGAGCATGTTATGCTGACAGAAAGATAAAGCAGAAAATAATTCCTAAATTAATTTAAAGAATATTGTTGTTGTGTATTGCCTAAATATGTACACTTAGACAATATTTACCATTGTTACCTTTAAAAACAAATACCGGTAATATTTAATCAACACAAATATATGAGAAAAGAATAAAATATAATATATATATATATACTGTATGTATATATATATATATATATATATATATATATATATATATATATATATATATATATATATATATATATATATATATATATACATATTATTTGTAACTGGAGCAGGGTTATAAAGCAGAAGTATAAGTATAAAAGTACATTTGCACTTTAAGTCTCTTATCAGGCTTCTTTTTTATGTAAACACAGTTGAAAAACAAAAGCAATATAAGACAAAGTTGATCACTTTTAATATTTACTATACATAATAGCTGTGTTTCATAACAGTTTTGTTCTGCCTGTCATATTAGTTTATTAAAGGTATTATAAGGGAAATGTCCATGAAGAAAAGCTAGCTATCCCTCTCTTTACCAAATCTGTCCCACCTCTGTCATGGGAGTTTAGGACATCCATCCATCCATCCATCCATCCATCCATCCATCCATCCATCCATCCATCCATCCATCCATCCTCTCCCGCTTAGTCCTTGTCAGAGACGCTAGTGCCGGTGCCTATCTCCAACAGTCTATGGGTGAAAGGCAATGTACTCCCTTTACAGATCGCCAGTCTGTCGCAGGGCAACACAGAGATAAACAGAGACATACCAACATGTATATGTGACACATTGAACAATCGAATCTGATAAATATGTTTTTTCAATGTGTCACATATACACACACTCACACCTAAGGATATTTTAGAGAAGCCATTTAGCCCAACAGTCATGTTTTAGGACCATGGGAGGAAGCCGGAGTACAAGGAGAGAACCCATGCATGCACAGGGAGAACATGCAAACTCCATCCAGAAATACCTTGGGCCAGGAATCGAACCCAAAACCCTCTTGCTGCAATGCAAAAGTGCTACAAACTGAGCAGTCTTTGTACCAAAAAAAAATTATAAATATAAATATTTTAATTACTTGTTAAACACTTCAAATTTGAGTTAGCCTTATAGGGTGTGATAGCAGTGCATGTCCTTTATAGTTTCTTCAAGTACTTTTATGAAGCTACAAACCATTGGCTGCCTTTAGGCTTAGCTTTGGAAAGTAGTTATTTCAGCTTAAATCTTTAGAGGAGGAAAATAAAACAATGGAATAACAGCATTATGTCTTATTGGACACAGCTACACCATCCTTGTTTTATACAGCTATTTTTTTACGAATAGACATATGCATTCTTTTAGTAAATCTGTCTTAATGTGGTCAAAAATTGCCAGGAGAAGTTTAAATCGTGTACTCTGGAATTTGAAATCTGAATGACAAAATAGCCAGTAGACACATTTTAAATCCTGAATATTAAGAGGAAAAGAATTTGAATCTACTTAACCTCTGTTCTGGTGGGGTTTAGGGAGTTCATGTGTAGCATGGGTGGGGTGAAACCCTGCTTCTGCACCTTCAGGCAAAACAGAAAAAGAAACATCAGAGGAAGGGAGGAGGCTGTTGATCATTTTCTCAGCAGATTTTAAAACACATTACAGCACTTTGCTGTCGATTCTCGGGTCTGTCTCCATACCAAAGAGGAATGAAGGAGTGTCTCATTCAAAACTCCATAGCAAAATCCTCCAAACTCTGCTGGATTGATCCAGACATCATTTGCTCTTTACTTCTTTAACTTTCACCCTGTATACAGAACCATCACTTTTTAAGATCCACCTGAAGTTTAAGAATGAATGGCATCTAGAAAGGCAGTAGAGCCCATCTGAATGGTTTTGAAGGAGAACTAACATTTTTTCAACAAAGTCAAGTAACTTTTTATTCAAGCAGTTGTACTTAATTCTTCCATAAACCGAACTTGTCTGTACAATCCTATGCGTTTATCGGCTCAGGAATTAATGCCTTTAACTCTCTTTATGTTGGTATATCACAATTTTCGTTAGTAGACTTTTATTGGTCCAAAATACTGCAGCACATGAGCATATCATCACTGCTATATCATCTCCCTAAAGGCTGCCTGTCTGTTTTACAATAGACCAATTTTTTATGCCTCTTTAAAATTGGGGCCCTAACCTACATTTCTTATTTACTGACTGTGTGTTGGGTATATCCTGGGACCGTCCTTCCAGTTCATCTTGGATGTTCTGAGAACTAAATATGAACTGGCCTTCTCAACTGCTGGGTCTATTTAAATCCAAATTGAGATGGCTTTTAATCTCAGTAACCCTGTTGCAATTCATCTAAGATTTCTAACATTTGTTTTTTATTCATCTGTTTCTAAATAATTCATTGTTAATCAATGTGGCTCTCTAGTTGGCTGTTTTAAAGGGCTATATAAATGAATAAACAAGTAAGTGAAATGAATTCTTTTGAGGACTAGACCAACCACAACAGCTGATCTCTAAACTTCACTGTACGCACTTTGCAATCTTCAAGATCAATTGTGTGTTTGAATTGCTCTAGCGTAAGGTTAAGGATGCAAGCTTTTAGATTGTAGTTGAAATTATTTTGCAGAATATGGGAAACTTTTGCATTTTCATCACAAACTCTAGAACTCTAGCTCTAGTCCCAGCAACAGCAGTTAGTGAGTCTAGACCATAGATAGGTGGCCATGAAAGCTAGACTGAAATTCTCCAAGATGAGAAATATCAGAAGCTAGATCTTTTTTTTTTCAGAAGTGATTTTTTTTTTATATATAATGAAAGGCTTTTTATGATGTCCTTTTAAAGTCAGTGCTAGAGCTGCGTCTGTCTGCTGTCGAATTTGTCTCCAGTACAGGTTGGACTTTATCAGTGTTCCCATCTTTCTTCACTCCTGTGAGTGATGTTCAAGGACAGGATCTCAAAGCATAGTTTTAGAGTGAAAGATCTACGGTTTGATAACCTCAGGTTCTCATCTTTGCTCTATGTTTCCACAGCATTATGTTTTGGGGATAAGACTCAGCTCCTTTAAATGTGAGGTCATGGTTCTTAACTAGACAAAGGTGGATTTTTACCTCCAGGTCAGAGGTGAGGCTCCTGTGTCAAACAGAGGAGCTTAAGCGCCTCGGTGTCTGCTTGAAGGTGCAACAGGAGATGGATAGACAGCTTTGGGTTTTGTTTGCAGTAGTGTAGGACTTACAGCAAAGTGATGTGGAAAAGATAGACTGAGCCAAAAAGCAAAAGCTCTTTCATCTCATCTCATCCATTGCATGTATATCTACTCTCTGACCCCTATTTACAGTCATGAGGAATGGAATATGAATGAAAGATTGTGTTTTTAAGAGAGTAAAATGAGCCTCCTTCACGTGGTTGATGGGTTCAAACTGAGGAAAAGGTGACAAGTTCCATCATCCGCCGGATCTCTGATCAATGGCTCCTCCTCACGCCTCAGCCGACTCTGATCTGGAATCATAATGGCTTTTCCCTATGGAGTGTGTACCAGACCACAACAGACCCGCATTATAAAGATCTTAATTTGCATTAAAATGATCATTTTGATTCTTGCGGTTGTAAATACTGTACATGTGAACATAAAGTATCTCCAGTATTAGGTAGTAGCAACCTCCACTAACTAATAAAATAATCTTTAATTCAGTGTAATATATATTAAGTAAAATGTATAACCCTGAAAGGAGTCTATATTTGCACAATGTTTGTGAAGCATGCATGTTAAAAAAGGCTTAACATATTTATAGTCGTTTTTTGAGTTGTGGATTAGTGTAAGGCTTAAGTTAACCCTGCAGTGGCAACTATGGTTAGTTTTAGCTTGCAGAGGGTTTTTATGTTTTGACTGTGGATCCTCTGGGGAGAGTCTGAAACCCAGAGATATCATGAACACTAAGCAAGTGATCCTGGGAAGTGTGCAACGGAGGCCGGCGTGCAGTCAGTGAAATGAAATGCACACCCTAGGAACAAAGGACAACTATGATATCCTGACTTTGTTCCTAAATGCTCTTAAAGTAGTTTGTGGTAGTTTTTTGTAGTAGTTGTTGTTTTGGAAGATGCTGTTTAGCTATACTTCTAAATCTAGTGGCCATTTTTGGGGTAGGTTTTAAGCTCTATTTAAAAAGTTTGCTAAATCAATATTCATGGATTTAGCAATTGGGGGGAACCTATAACTAAATAAAATCTAAGGGAGAATGTTCAGTATTCCTTGCATTTACATTTTAAACAGGGTTTACGCCTCCCTGGAAACTGATGCCTTTCTTATTCTCCTGCTTGCTCACTGTTCTCAAACAAATGCAGGACACAACATCTATGTACCCAGGAGTGTTTAAAGCACACAAGGATGCGTCTGATGTTGCCCAAATCCTGTGGGAAATAATCTTTCTAAAGCCTCAGAAAGGCTAAAGACATAACAAAGGTAAAGTAAAGTCTCCTATAATAGCAAAAACAGATAGATTCCCAGGTGTGTTGTGTTTGCATCTAAAACCCTGCCATTGCGAGGCTAAATGAGGTTATTGCTGCAGACCGACAAGGCTTGGTAACATCAAGGCTTGACGAAGCAAACACATAGGGAAGCTAATGTAGTCTCAGAATGCATAAAGTGATAAAATAACAGGCAGCAACAGCTGGGCAGAGCCTGACTCAATCTCCATGAAAATGGATGGGCGGAAATTCAAAGAGAAGCTTTGCTGAAAAAGATATATGAATCCCTCCTCTGGAGAAAAAAAAAACATTCCCCTTATATGAGTTTTTTTTTTTTCTCACCTGGTGCAGTGAAAGTCCGATTAAGCCTGCTGTCAGCAGATAATGGATATTGTTTGCTGGAGTCCAGTTCAGTGGGAAACTGTCCAGTTTTGTTTACATATAAACATCCCCAATCTGATTCCTCCTTCACTCATGGCCAGGTATTTTCTTCTCCAGGGCTTCGTTGCAGGTCCTATCTAAATCCCCTTGTTTCTCCCGGTCATGTGATTCATTAACAAAAGTCAGCCTTTCAATTTATTTCTTTTAACCACAATAAACCAAAGAAATTTGAATATTGTAAAGACACAGCACCTCAGCTCTAACGTTTTATGACCTGTTTACTACTGGGGCCCCTGAGGGGCTACTCCTAAAAAATATCTGAATTTATTGATATATTTTAAATATATCAACAAATATATTTAAAAATGTATTTTAAACTTTATTTAAATGTAAACATTTTCTCCAAATTGCATCCAAATCAGATATTTTGAGGATATATGGGAAGCGAAACGTCTTCAAACTTGGAAACAAAATCCAGTGGATTGTTTTTTCTTTTCTTTTTGGGAATTCGTTGAGCTGTTTTGCATGTAGCTATGATTTCAAAAGGTTCGACATAATCTTAAGTATCTATTTTTTTCCTTTACCTAACCTTTTAACATTGTGTATTTGATCATTTGTGTTCATATATATCATATATACACTATATTGCCAAAAGTATTTGCTCACCTGCCTTGACTCACATATGAGCTTAAGTGACATCCCGTTCCTAATCCATAGGGTTCAATATGACGTCGGTCCACCCTTTGCAGCTAGAACAGCTTCAACTCTTCTGGGAAGGCTGTCCACAAGGTTTAGGAGTGTGTTTATGGGAATTTTTGACCATTCTTCCAGAAGCGCATTTGTGAGGTTGCACACTGATGTTGGACGAGAAGGCCTGGCTCTCAGTCTCCGCTCTAATTCATCCCAAAGGTGTTCTATCGGGTTGAGGTCAGGACTCTGTGCAGGCCAGTCAAGTTCATCCACACCAGACTCTGTCATCCATGTCTTTATGGACCTTGCTTTGTGCACTGGTGCACAGTCATGTTGGAAGAGGAAGGGGCCAGCTCCAAACTGTTCCCACAAAGTTGGGAGCATGGAATTGTCCAAAATGTCTTGGTATGCTGAAGCATTCAGAGTTCCTTTCACTGGAACTAAGGGGCCAAGCCCAGCTCCTGAAAAACAACCCCACACCATAATCCCCCCTCCAACAAACTTTACACTTGGCACAATGCAGTCAGACAAGTACCGTTCTCCTGGCAACCGCCAAACCCAGACCCGTCCATCAGATTGCCAGATGGAGAAGCGCGATTCGTCACTCCAGAGAACGCGTCTCCACTGCTCTAGAGTCCAGTGGCGGCGTGCTTTACACCACCGCATCCGACGCTTTGCATTGCACTTGGTGATGTATGGCTTGGATGCAGCTGCTCGACCATGGAAACCCATTCCATGAAGCTCTCTGCGCACTGTTCTTGAGCTAATCTGAAGGCCACATGAAGTTTGGAGGTCTGTAGTGATTGACTCTGCAGAAAGTTGGCGACCTCTTCGCACTATGCGCGTCAGCATCCGCTGACCCCGCTCCGTCAGTTTACGTGGCCTACCACTTCGTGGCTGAGTTGCTGTCGTTCCCAAACACTTCCATTTTCTTATAATACAGCTGACAGTTGACTGTGGAATATTTAGGAGCGAGGAAATTTCACGACTGGATTTGTTGCACAGGTGGCATCCTATCACAGTTCCACGCTGGAATTCACTGAGCTCCTGAGAGCGACCCATTCTTTCACAAATGTTTGTAAAAACAGTCTGCATGCCTAGGTGCTTGAATTTATACACCTGTGGCCATGGAAGTGATTGGAACACCTGATTCCAATAATTTGGATGGGTGAGCAAATACTTTTGGCAATATAGTGTATGTCTGTTACTGTGAGAATGGATCAAGTAAGTATTTGTCATCTGAGCTCCTATTGATTCCAGGACTTTAAAAGCTTTCTCAGATGTATTAACCTTAGTAGGAAATAAATCAAAATTATGTTCTTGAAAAAGCAGTTTGATAGGTTTCTCGCAGATATGCTGAATAAAATGTAAATATGTAAAAGAATATTCAACATATCTCTATATACTTTTATATATTTATCGTTTATGGCATAAGTCAGATATTGTGCAGACTGTGCAGGACAGCTGTTTGCAGTCAAAGCCTCATTTTTATTCATTGTTTTGGATTTTCTGTTCTCACTCCCTCAGACCTTCCTCAGATATGAATGTAATCAGCCTTCCACAAATGGACATTGTGGAAAGCAGCCAGGCACAGCAGTGGATCTGGACCACACACTGAAGCTGCAGATTTATAAACAGCACGATCAGTGGTTGGTTTTAACAATCATCCTGAAAAAGGACAATGTGTTGATTCTATATTTAGTATCTAATGTTAAAAGTGTTTGGGCTAAATGCTGATATCTATTCATCAATAGATCCATTTAGAGCTTTTAACTTTCCAAAGTTAATTTCATATGCATTTACCACATTCTATGTCATGACTAAAAGTGAGTGTTGAAATATGAATAAAACCACTAAATAAACAAGATAAGGAAACAGGCTTTTTTTGTGCATTTTTACCATCTCATTTTATAAATATTGAGAATTTTTTTTTTTTGTGGCTGGGATTAAAGGTCATCTGGAGAGGCCAAGAAATCTTGGTTAAATCTATAAACCAACAAATCTCGAACCAAAACTACACTTAGGTTTGAAGGATTAATGTGTCGAATCTCTGGATAAGTTAATATACAGCCAGCTCATAATCAAAACAACAAGACACCACAGCACATCATATTTTTATAAGGACATTTTCAATCATCAAATTCAAAAGCTTTACAAGGAAAACATTCAACACAATATATATTTACAAAACAATATTATATTTTGCTGTTTGTAATATTTACAGTGCAAATCTTTCTGAATCTGAAAGAACTCACATCTGTATCAGTGTTAACTCATTCACATCCAACTATTCTAAAGGCCAAACCGGGGAAGAGAAGCTGTGAAAAGCATTGGGAGATAAGAATAATTTAGACAAATACTCATCTGTTATCTGTGGAGGAATAGAAATCTTATCAGCAGCGGCTTTTAGAGGGCTGCTTCAGCAGAGAGGGTAATAATTTATCAAAAGCCTCGGAAGCTAGAGTCTCATCGCTTCAATGATTCAGAGATTTAAAATAAAAATGCTCTCTGTATAAATCCTGAGCTGTTCTGTGAAAGATTAACAGATGTTCTCTGTCATGCATGCCTACAATCTTCTTCATTACAACCTGCAGCTGGAGGGAGTCGTGTAACATTTGAGCAAGAGAAAAAGCCACCGGGGGAGCTGTAAGCTGTCATCTGTAAGGGCTGGAGAGGTTATTTTCCGATTAAACGGCAAGCTGAACACACACAGCTTTACTGTGTGAATTTAGAGACAGAGGGGATGCATTTTTTTCATGAGGAGGTTGGATCTTGTCTGGTTAATGTGAAAGAAATGTAAATTAAAATGTGCATTAAAAAATTGCAGGGATCAAATTATCAAATCAAATGAAATGGGTGACACATGTTTGAAATGATATAATCTCACTTGATGACTGTGTGCGCAGTAGCAGTCTACCTCCATTCAATACAACCAGGAGCTGTTGCTCTAGATGAGCTCTGAGATGTAATTTTAAGAGATGGATGCTTGACTGTGTAATGCTCAGTGTAATAAATAAGCTTGCTTCCTAATAGCAAGTATGTTCCTCTAGATTGAAAAACTAGGGTAAGGGTAAAAAAAAGGAAATCCGGAAGCAAATCATGGTTGTGAGGATCCTTTAACCTGTGAAGGAGAAACCAAAGGAGCAAAAGTCAGATCTGTAGTCAAAACTCTGGTAAATAGAATAGAAACAGCAATTTCAGGATGAAACAGACGACAAAAGCATGACCAGATAAGCAATTATCCATTCATTGGGTTTGTAATAAAGGTCTAAACTACAAATACCAAGCAAAGCTTCTCTCATCTCATAGGCTCTTCAACGGTCAACGTCACTTGAACACACAATGGTATAGAAAAGCTATGCACTGTGTCAAACACATGCATAAACATGCATGGTAATTCATAGACTGAAATAAGTGATGCATTGGTCAATAAATATCTGGAAATGATCAAAGTGCTTTTTAAGCGTGGCTCTTTAATCTATGATAAGAGCAAATTATGTTTCCTCTGACTTCAAATCAGTCACATGCATTGACCTGATTGAATCTCTAGAAACAGTTTAAATATGTTAGGATATTATATGCCTCTGTTAAAAAAACAAAAAAAACAAAATACTTTGATTCTTTGAACAATTTGGCGTTATATTAAGCTGGTATTGTTTGACTGAAGAGCATTTATATTTAATTAGATGGAAGTTTTCAATAGTTCAGTCATCTGTTGCTGTCCCTCATCCATGGAGAGCAAATTCTGCAAAGACCATGACTTAATGCAATCAGTTGAGTTTCCTTGGATGGAAAACCTTCAGTCTTTCTTTATGATCAGATTGAATAATCGCTGTAATCTCTGTGAAGTGCTTAAACTGAATTGAGCTGTTCAGCCAGATTCAATTTCAAACCTGCCTTAACACGCCTCATATCATTAATTTCTGTAGCGACATTGTAACAAGACACTCATTTGATTTAGGTATGTTGGAGGATATTTAAGGACAGCACACCACTACAGTACACAAACAGGATCCTTACAGAAAGCAGGAATATTCTCCTGACAGTAGATTTACAAACATGGAAGAAGCAAGTTAGAAGCACATATTTACGAAAAAGTTATGTGAATTTTTTTTATATCTTTTATAATATCATATATTTTATTATATTACCGGTATATAATATTCTTCACTCACAAATACAGGTGCTGGTCATAAAATTAGAATATCATGAAAAAGTAGATTGATTTCAGTAATTCCATTTAAAAAGTGAAACTTGTATATTATATTCATACATTACATACAAACTCATATATTTCAGATGTTTATTTTGTTTAATTTTGATGATTACAAATGACAACAAATGAAAATCTCAAATTCATCATATCAGAAAATTAGAATATTGTGAAAAGGTTCAAAATTGATGGCCCCTGGTGCCACACTCTAATCAGCTAATTAACTCAAACCACCTGCAAAAGCCTTTAAATGGTCTTTCAGTCTAGTTCTATAGGCTACACAATCATGGGGAAGACTGCTGACTTGACAGTTGTCCAAAAGACGACCATCGACACCTTGCACAAGGAGGGCAAGACACAAAAGGTCATCGCTAAAGAGGCTGGCTGTTCACAGAGCTCAGTGTCCAAGCACATTAATAGAGAGGCGAAGGGAAGGAAAAGATGTGGTCGAAAAAAGTGTACAAGCAAGAGAGATAACCGCACCCTGGAGAGGATTGTGAAACAAAACCCCTTCAAAAATGTGGGGGAGATTCACAAAGAGTGGACTGCAGCTGGAGTGAGTGCTTCAAGAACCACCACACACAGACGTATGAAAGACATGGGTTTCTGCTGTCGCATTCCTTGTGTCAAGCCACTCTTGAACCACAGACAGCGTCAGAAGCGTCTTGCCTGGGCTAAAGAGAAACAGGACTGGACTGCTGGTGAGTGGTCCAAAGTCATGTTCTCTGATGAAAGTAAATTTTGCATTTCCTTTGGAAATCAAGGTCCCAGAGTCTGGAGGAAAAGAAGAGAGGCACTTCATCCACGTTGCTTGAAGTCCAGTGTAAAGTTTCCACAGTCAGTGATGGTTTGGGGTGCCATGTCATCTGCTGGTGTTGGTCCATTGTGTTTTCTGAGGTCCAGGGTCAACGCAGCCACATACCAGGAAGTTTTAGAGCACTTCATGCTTCCTGCAGCTGACCAACTTTTTGGAGATGCAGATTTCATTTTCCAACAGGACTTGGCACCTGCACACAGTGCCAAAGCTACCAGTACCTGGTTGAAGGACCATGGTATCCCTGTTCTTAATTGGCCAGCAAACTCTCCTGACCTTAACCCCATAGAAAATCTATGGGGTATTGTGAAGAAGAAGATGCAATACACCAGACCCAACAATTCAGAAGAGCTAAAAGCCACTATTAGAGCAACCTGGGCTATCATAACACCTGAGCAGTGCCACAGACTGATCGACTCCATGCCACGCCGCATTGCTGCAGTAATACAGGCCAAAGGAGGCCCAACTAAATACTGAGTGCTGTACATGCTCATACTTTTCATGTTCATACTTTTCAGTTGGCCAACATTTCTATAAATATTTTGTTTTTATTGGTCTTCAGTAATATTCTAATTTTCTGATATGATGAATTTGAGATTTTCATTTGTTGTCATTTGTAATCATCAAAATTAAACAAAATAAACACCTGAAATATATGAGTTTGTATGTAATGTATGAATATAATATACAAGTTTCACTTTTTAAATGGAATTACTGAAATCAATCTACTTTTTCATGATATTCTAATTTTATGACCAGCACCTGTATATGTGTGTGAACTAATTTTTTAGCTCTTGGAAAGAAACCCTGTTACCTTTGTAACCCTGAGAGGAAAAGCCGCACTGAGTATTGCCTTCGACTTTTCTAGGATTGCCTTCGACTGTTCTAGTTAAACAGTTCAACTGAAACATCATTAGTTAAACTTTTTTTATTTTCTTTAGTCCAACTGTTTTTAATGGTCTTTTTTGTTTCTGCATTTTTATTTTTATTTATTTTTTTCCTATTTGCTTTGATTCTGTTTTATTTTCCTATATTGTAATCATGTAAAGCACTTTGCATTGTCTTTGTACTGAATTGTACCATACAAATAAATTTGCCTTGCCTTGTCTTGCCTATGAAAGATGCATCTCTTCCATGCATCTCATTTCTAGCATCATGCATCATGTTTTGGATTCTTATTCTCTTATTAACCCCAAATGACAAACCATACGCTCAGCGGCGCAGTGGGTAGCACTGCTGCTTTGCAGCAAGAAGGTTTTGGGTTTGATTCCTGGCCTGGTATCCTTCTGCATGGAGTTTGCATGTCCAGCTTGGGATAAGTATGAAAGAAAATGGATGGATGGATGGATGGAACTTTGATTAGGTTTTAGGATCAGAAACAGAGCCACAGCATCACAGATTCCCCACCATGCTCTACAGCTGGCACAGATCCACTTACGCTATTAATCCTTAGTTTCATATTAAAAGATTATTCTAAGCCTCATCTGAACAACATACGCAGTTCGAGTTAGAGTCGAAGTAGGAATTAGCAAACTTCCTATTTTTGTTTTTGATGGTAGGACAGGAAAAATCTATTTCCTGTAAGGTTTAGGGGGGCAATGGATTTCTTGTCACCATTTGCCAATTTATACCCACCTACACCCTTCTGGCGTATACTTTAACCATGTGTTGTCCAGCCTTTCAAATTTTGAGATGTGGTGGTAAAACAAGGACCTGTTTGGATCATATTTAAAAAATACACAAAGGGATCAGTTACCATTAAGGTCTGTGGAGGTTTTGATTTTAAAAAGTTGATATAGTGGTAATTCTGAAGGGCTGGATAAAGCCTCTCACCATCTCATGGCCAGACTAAGCAACTTTAGTAGTACAGCTGACCTGTTTTAAAGGTTAAAGAATATGTTTACTTAGGGTTAGAGTTAGAATTTAATATCCATTTTTTTCTCCCTGGTCTTTATTTCAATTAGGTAAATATAAACTCATTAGTAATTTTTAACATCAACTGATATGAAAGGCTTATATCATGATGCACCTTTTAACTTAGGGTGGCCAACCAGTCGCTCTGGTGAGGCTCAAGACTCTGCAGTCTAAAACAGACTGGACCATCACAGCTCGGAAGGTGAGCTCATTATGCAACAGCATTTTTATGTAAATGTAATGGTCAGGACTGCAGCCGTTGCGGTGCGATGATTAAATTATCCCGTTTGGGATGTTTTAAGAGAGCTGTAAAAATCTTTAATATTTCAACAACTTTTCATCTTTTAAAAAGATTATTTTTGCTTCCCTAGTTATCAGATTGGTCCTAAACTGTTTCCATTAACTCTATCATCCCCATCTTTTAAATCAGACGCATCCCGCTCTTTTCAAGACTGATACTCTGTGCTCACAGCATAAGTCAGTCTGGCTGTCCATGCTAAAGGAAATAAGTAAGACAAATTTACATCTTAAGTTTTGAATGTCTATTGTTGATTTTCAGGACCTTTTTATTTAATATTTGAGCTTTGCAGAGAACAAATTAAAAATGTTAACACCTTCAACTTAAGCAATTAGCTGGTACAAAAAAAAATAAATAAATAAATATCCAGTGGAGGATTCTATCAATACTATCAACTCTGCAATACTTGAATGGGCATGCTTGCCTCAGGTTTGCAGGAGTATCTGGAAATGTGCAGTTTAATGCTGGACTGAGAGTTTTTTTCTATATATTCATGAGCAGCTTAATTCAACTTGCTCTGAAAAATTCTGCAGAAACACATTTAGAAAATCAGCCTCTGCCCCATCTGATTTGCTTCATTCACTCCTTAATGTGAAGCTCTATTTTACTGTAGTGAGAGAGGAATTTCCCAGGTTTGACAAACGGAGCACAGCTGCTGCAGTGGATGGCACTGCATTGTGCAAAAGCAGCAACAGCAGCAACCTTACATTTACTGATGTTTTGAGATCCATTACATAACTCAGTGTGTACAAAGTAAAAGCTAACCTTTGGTCGGCTTTGGAAATAAAACCCTGAGAAAAAGCAGCCTGTAAATGAGGTTGGTCAACAGTCAGCGGAGTGGACCTTGACCTCGCCTTCCCAGCACTTCCAGTAAACGAGCACCGTTCCAGGGTTAAGTTGCACCACACTTCCAAGCATGCATGCCTGTCGTAATCACTAACAGATGTTATGAGAGTTTGTGCTCTCAGAAATGTGAGATGACGAAAGTGTCCACAGTTCATCAGTCTCAGTCTCACTGAAACCAGCTGGTGCATCACAACAAACAGGGAAATGTAAGACAGCCTGTTTATCAAAGAGATGCTCTGGACTTTTTTGTGTGAGAACCTGTAGGTCATCTATTATCAGAAATATTGCTTAATATTTAGGGCTGCGGAGGCTGCAGGTTTCCCCTTGATAGATCACTTTTCATTACGTGGCCTTCAAACATTGTGGATCAACAAATAATCTAATTGTTTAGATCTGACCTCCAAGAAGCTTTCAAGGTGGTTTTGAATAACAGTTCTTAAGGTTTTCTAAAGGCCCTTTTTTTTTATCTGTTTGTTTTTAGACAAACTGTTCTTTTTTATTGTTTGTCAGCCTCAAACCACAGATAAGTAGGCCCATAAACTGATGGCAACCTGTGGGGTTTTATTTGTAATACTTAGCAATTAGTTTATTTTTAAAGGATATTAAGGCATGAGATAGCAATAACAATGCTAAGAACAGTTAATAAGCCATACATTAGATTATTATCTTCTACATTAAAGTAATACTTTATGTTTATTAATCTAATTAGATTTTTATACATTATATTTTAATACATGTGTGTCCATCTTACATGTAAAAATATTTAGAACATCCTATTTTGGAGAAATAGAGATCTAAAATCAATTTTAACAAAGCTGAAGAATTGTAGAAAACTAGAAAAATAAATTATTGATGCCTGCAAAATGTTATAAAAACTTCTGGTGGGGAATTAATTAGGACTCCCAAGAATATTTTATCAGGTTCATATAGGAGATGTCATTGATTAATTTTTGAAGCAGAATTGTCCTGTAATTTAATTTGGTGTGTTCCTAACAGCTGTCCAAGTCTTTGAGAAAGACAACTGCTAGTTCAAAACATTGACAACTATTGCAAGCATGTAATAGATCTGGCTGTCTAAGTAAGTTCACCGTGAAAGCAGAGGGTAGGATTCTAAAAGAAGTCTCCAAAACAGAAAAATGGGAAAGCTATAGAAAGCCAGCCTAAACAGAGGACATGCTAATAAACCAAATACAACTGCCCCAAAAAAGAACATTTAACCAGCTGTAAAGCACGGTGGTGGAAGTGTCATGGGTGGGGATACATTGCTGCAGCAGGACCTGGCCAGCTCACATTTGCAGAATCCACAATGGATTCCACCAAATATCAGAGGAAGCATAGCAAATACTGAGAAGTTAAGCTGAAGCAGGACTGAAGCCTCTAAAACAGAGTTCCTCATTCCAGTCTTTCAGTTCAATGTTCTGCATCTTGTAGGTGTTTCTCAGCTTCAACACAGCTCAGTTATATGGTGCAATTACCTCACAGCATACCGCAAGTTCTACAGCGTCCTGTTAAGGACCAGATGTACACAGCTGAGGTGTTCTGAAGCAAAGGCACGTGTGAAAGGTGCAGGACCCCCGTGCCCTAATCTAAACTTAAAGTATATTGACCCCAGAATTATACCAGTAAACTGCGTAAGAGCTTCTAGATTCTGTGTCATAGCCTGAAACTGACTGATGATGGCTGGAAGTAACTGATGCTGAAAGTACTCAAACACCTCACAGCTTAAAGTTAGGAGTTCCTCAGACTGATATAAGAACCCAGCAGATGGCAACAAAAATCCTCTTGCTGTAGTTATTTAGTCAGAGATGGTGAGATTGGATATTAGAGGAAGGTTGCACACAGTTTTTATCTGACTATCAAGCACATTTTTGTGTTTCGGCCGTTTTGATTTTTTTGTTAATTGATTAAAAAAAAGTATTTAATTGTTTTTGTTTTTTGTTTGAACATCTTTTTAAAAGAATTAATATGCTATATGTTGCCTTTTCGTATAAAACTGTAGCAATTAAAGTTTACTTAGAGTTACAGAGGGGTGAATAAAACGACAGAGACATCAAGGGCGCTAAGGGTTGATCAGTTTACACAGAGCAACAGTGACCTCTGCTGGACAAACTATTGCATCACATAAAGCTGCCCCTCTTTACCTTAGAAAAACTTGATAGGATGTTCAATTTATGATTGATTATGAGAGGAAACCCTTATTTGTCTTTCAAAAATCCCTCTACTTGTTGATGCCTTTCACCCGTCTTAAATAAAGAGATGAAACCTACTATCTTTCTTCATCCACTGGTCCAGTTCGTCCATTTCCAGCTCCAGCACAGATGGCACATCTTCTTCAAACATTGGCCTGAGAAACAAATATGGAAGCACAGGAGTTTTTTTATTTTTTATTTCTGAAACCCTAAGAAGATTATGAGAAATAATCACAAGAGCACATGACTTGTCTTGCTCACAGTTTGGTTGCATTAATAGGAAATTACACATTCACTTTAAAAAAAGAAAAAAAATCTTCTTTGCATGATAGCCAACAGCTCTTAGTGCAGGCATTTGGTTCTAACTTACATTGGCACCTTCTCAGTGCTTGATCCATCCAAAACAGGGTCCATTTTACTGAGCTCTGGAGGAGAAGACATATAAAGGTCATTTTTAACAGAACAATTGGTTATATTAGTAAGGCGAATCTGCCAATATGTATGAATGTTGATTTCCTAGACTGATTCGACCCTAATGAAAGAGTGATAGAAGAAAGTCTAGAATAAGTTGCACAAGTCAGATGAGACCAAAATTTTACTGTTTGTGTGGCACAAAACTATTGCCGCACTAGCTGTGCAATGACAGTATTAGTCTGAACACACAACCCACACAGTAAAACATGATGGTGGCTGCTCTTTATTGAGGGGATGCATTTCTTTGGCAGAGACTAGGAGGCTGGTTTGGAAGGTGCTAAAAGTTAAAAGCAGGGCAGCCCAGTAAGAGAACCTGTTAGAGGATAGAAACACCTAAAGACTGGTGGAGGACTGCTTGAACTATTTTTAAAAGGAAGCACTAGAACAGTTGTCATTGCAGATGTGAAACATTAGACACTAGATAATCCAAAAGACCTGCAGCTCTCACTGCAGAAAAAAAGGTGCTTCTGTGGAAAAATTGGGAATAAATGCATATGCATGACAAACAGTTGAGATTTTATTTGTAAATACATGTTGGTTTGTGATTAAAAACCTCAAAATATCAGATGAGGTTTTACAAATTGAGTCATTTCCTTTTCAAATATTTTGACTAAAAATACTTTGTTGAGTTGGTTTGACTTCTTTTATTGCCTGTGCTCTGAGATTAAAAACAGAAACATTCACAGCTCTGTGGCTGATAGGGGGCTTTATGTCGAAATAACATGAGGATAATTTGCATTTATGGAAATAAAACAGAAGCTATTTCATTTAAGGGCTCTATATATCAGAAGCAGAGATCTTGCTAAGGATTTTTTTTCACTTTAAGTCTAGCCTTATGTCTATAATGACTGAAATAAATACCTTGCATGCCCCCATCTCTCTATCACGCTAGGTTGGAATTTAAACCTGCACTATTTGTCATAAAGTCCTAATTATGACAAGAATATTTTGGTAAGTAAATAACATTTAAATTGATCAAATGTTACAATAAAACAATTAGAAATGGAAATGGGCATTTTTCCTCTAATAGAAATACTAGAATGAAATTAGAAGCTGATAATATTGATTTTTCATGCTTTTTGTCACTTATTGACTAACTTAATGTTTGTTCATATGGTCAACTTTTTTTTATACTCTTAAAAAGCCTTGAAGAGTTTTCTTTTTGTCAGCTGTAGAATTTGAAACCATTTTTAGAAACCACTTTTCAAACTGAAGTTCAAATTAAAGATACAGATGAAAATATGATTGGATACAGGTCTGGATCTTAAAGAAAGAGCCTAATTTCCTTTTTTAATGTGTTGAGAATTTTTCTTTTCTTTTATTAAAGACAATATTACAGAGCCTAGCTCCTAAAAAAGAAGGTAAAAACAACTAGCTTCCCAGCAGACGCTCTGGAACAGTTCAACAAATGCATGGTGACAAAACAGAAGAAAGAACATTTATTTTATTTTTTCATAACAATGATCGTACCACCTTATGCACAACTTAAATAATAACAACGATATGTGAAAGTAGCAGCTGCAGATTATGAGGTTTCAAAACCCCAGAAAATCAGCCACAGCAACACAGAACTTTCCACTCCTCTGCAGATGCACGGCAGATTGTCTCTATCCTGTCTGTTATTGCACCTTAGTCTCCTTCTCGCTATAATAATGTCAGATTTTAGGAAGTGAGTTTGCTTCTGACTTTCAGGTGTGCTAAATATAGACACAGAAACTGCACCTACAGACTGTTTGATAAATCTATGGTAAGTGATTACCGTTGCATATCCTCCCCTGTTTTGCTGTTTCTTCTAATCAGCATATGTTCTGCATACTCAAACAAGGCAAACACGCTAAAGATAACTGCTATGTTGCTCATAAGTCACCTACACAAATTCAGCTGCTGATCAGTAGACCAACATTTTGCATTCTATCAGGTTTGTTGCCAAAGCGTTAGAAAATAAATGAGTATTTTCAGAATCCGCTGAATACAAAGTAGTTTTATTTGAACATTTCCAGCCAGAGGTTTCTTTATGGTTAGGCAGCTTAACTGTGAGATAAGCTAAGCTTATTTTGGTTCTGAAATGATACATTTAGTTGGAGAGACATCTATGTGGCCCCTATCAGCAAGTTAAAACTTACATAAACAAACTGTTATGAGCCATTAACATCTCCTAATAATTTACCTACGTCACTGGCCATAAATTAAGTTAATCCATTTGGAAAACACGCACAGCTGAAGCACTGCACACCAGTTTTTTTTTACTCCTTAGATAAAAACTATTCAAAGTAGGAAGTACCAGACCAAGTCAAGTATTTAGGGTATGGTTACAAGTTGAAAAACTTTTTTTTTTTTTTATTATTATTATTGAGACTTAATTGCTACCCTTGTCAAAGTCAAACCTGATTTGTCATCTTTCGTCAGGAGATAATAAAAGTGATCTGGCCTTGCACTTAATTCACAAATGGAATGGAAAGCAAATAGTCGGGTACTTTGATCACATCAAACACACAGGTGCCTGTTATCCTTGGCAGGAAAGGAAAAACACAGCAATGGACAATAGAGCGGCTGTTGTTGCTCCTGAATCTGAATGGAAAGGTTTTTAAGGTCATTCCGAACAGATAAACTCATTCTGAAGAAATATTACTAATCTATTTAAAATGATTTGAATAGACAAACTAAATAAATGACACAATAAACAAAGTAACCAAGCCTAAGCATGTATGAATAGACTATAAAATGTAACCAACAGAGATGACGTTGTTTAAACCTCTGAAGAAACTCAGAGCCATCAGAGATGATATTGGTAAAGTTCACAACAGGACAGCAAGAAAAAACTGAACACTGAACACTTGTGGTTTTGTTTGAACGGTTCCTCTAAAAGAAAAAAACATGACAGCAGAACTTCGGTCTACAAAGCTGTTTTTAAATTAACTTAATGTAAAGAACAATGTACTGAGGAAGGATGAGCTATCATGCACCTCTCACTAACTCCAGAACACAGAGATGGGGGTGTGATTATTTGGGCTTGTTTGGCAGCCATGTTACCAGGGAAACTGCCTTGAGTGGACCACAAACTCCTCTGTACACCAAAGTAATCTAGACTGACAACTATAGATAGAGCCAAACTGGGTCACTATACTGCAGAAAAGAAAGCAACACAATCATTTATAGATGTAGCTTTAGTCGCTCGTTAGACTACAAACCGCAGCCTCATCAAAATGCTTTGGTGTAAAATTAAGACAGCTGTAGAATAGTAAATGTTTGCAAGACTAATTGAGTTCAACCAAGGATTTAAAGAAGATTAAATTCCTCTTCAGCTACATAAGAGACTGAAAAAATAAGAGGAAAAAAAACAAAACAACTGCTGCTAAATGTTCTAGAGATTATGTCCTGACTTCAAATGAGAGTATAAGAGTATTAGATCATTTATACAGCTTTTTACTTTTTTCTTATTATATATATATATATATATATATATTGAATAATTTAATCTGTCATGATATCTGATATGGTATATCAACAAACATTTTAATATCTATTCTTTCCATGCTGTGACAATGTGATGATGTGTTCCCAGTTGTATCAGACTCACCTTGGTTCCCCCCTTTCTGACGGTGCCGGTGCATGATGACAATGCCACAAATAATCGCTCCAGCGATTACGACCACCGCAACCACAGCAATCAGGATGTAAGTGGTGTAATCGGGTTCCTCTGGTGGAACTATTGTACCTGAAACACCTTGATCACTTACTGCCTGATCATCTGCTGAACATTGCCAGAGAAAAGACAGGAGAAGCCAACTGATTTGGGAATTAGAAACATGTTGTAAGACATGGTAAAACAAGTAGCTTGACTCACCAAAATCGCCTGAACCAGAAACTGTATCTAAATACAGCAACAGTGAATCAAAACAGAATCAGGCACAAACAATCATACAATGAGAAGAATACTTACAAGGTTCTGAAGTGTTCTTCGTAGGAGCTGAATAAAATTATACAACCAAAATATATTTCTATTAGTTTATGTCACACAGCGCAACGAAGAATAAATGTTGCACATCCATACAGAAATGTCATTGAGATATAATCCATTGTCATGATGTTGAGGGAGACCCACCAAGTTCAAAAGACCAATTCTGCTGTAGCTTAAGTTCCATTGAATTGTTATAATCTACTTTTCTGGATCATTTTTAGAATCACTTCTTAGTTTAAATCACAGTGAATGCACATTATGGACATGCATCATACAAATAGAAACAGGTGCTAAAAGACATATTTCAGATATGCGGACACTAAAAATCATAAAATCATTTTATTATATCTTCGGTAAACTTAAAAAGTATGCAGGTTGTATAGCAAACCTTTTTTCTGAGAAAAAAAAAAAAAACTTTCTTGATGCTATTTGTCAAGTCTAAGCTTCCCTACCCTACCCTACCCTACCCTACCCTACCCTACCCTACCCTACCCTACCCTACCCTACCCTACCCTACCCTACCCTACCCTACCCTACCCTACCCTCTTCCATCCCATCCCATCCCATCCTATCCTATCCTATCCTATAAACACATTTACACTGAAAAAATAAAATATAAACAAGTAATTGTTTTCTTAAAATAAGTGAGTTTTTTTCTTGAATTGAGGAGGAAAGTGAGACACTGTGCCAATGGGACAAGTAAACAAATGAGACCATATTATCTAATTATCTTATTTTCAGAGTAATAATAATATTTTCATTTGAAATCATCTTATTTACCTACTCAATTTAAGGGTAAATACAATTATTTATCTTTTACATTTTCACCTATTTCTAGATTATTTTTATATTACCATTTCTTTCAGTTGCTTTGGTGCATTTATCAAATTTCTGCATCCTTAAAGGGGTCGTAGAATGATTCTATAAGGTATTTAGTGCTGGTGCTTAAGGTCTCTGAATACGGTGTGTTACATTGATTGGGCTGAAAATGGTATATTCACTGTTCCATGAGCCCTAATTCAACCGTTTAAAAGCCCTATTATGAAACGACAGGTTTTTCTTCTTTTTATGGTATGCTCATGAATATTAAGATGAGCTGTGCGCTGATTGGTTGGTTTACAAGGAGCAAAGCTGCTGAGCAAAGACGCATCATTGCAACAAGCACTCACTCACTGAAACATCAAATTGTTGATATGGTAGGTTGACCAGATGTCCTCCTTCTCCTGGACATGTCCTACTTTTCATACCTAAAAAACCTAGAATTTCAAAATCATCCGGAATTTAGAGTCGACTACAGTACTACAAACCCCAGCGGATGGGGGGTTGGGAGCCAGCAGGGGACGGAGCGACCGACCCTGACCCAGTGACGGTAGCCTGGACACAGGCAGCCCCGTCCTGCCTTACCGGCCCCCCTTCTCCGGCTGAGGATGGCTCATAGAGGACAAGTTTACATCAACTCGGGGTTTGTTTGGAGTCGCCCTTTTTATGGTGGAAGTTGAGAATTGTGAGATTTGCAGAGAAAGGAGGTGTCGATGGGGTTTGAACTTCTCTGTATGTCCATTTCACCCACTGAACTATCGCTATTTATCTATGACAATTTAAACTCAGTTTAGCATTCTATGACCCCTTTAACATTCTCAAAACAACAAATACGACCAAGACCAATCATAATTATAGCAAAACACCTTGGATTACCTGCAAAAGTCCACCTCTTGTTTAAAAATCTTTACTTCATCTTTAAAATGTAAAAAGATTGAACATGTTAATTCCACCAGAGTGATGAGACCTTGTGTTATTTTTGGGTTAGCCGGTCAGATTGCTGTCAGTATTAGGATGTACCTTAGCGGGTATGGTTGATGTTTTGAAGATAATCATGGTAAACTGTGAGACGCACCCTACTGAATAACAAAAAAAAAACTGCATTGTATAAGTAAAAAGGTAGAAATGTGAACAAGGACAATCTATTAATAGAAAACTGCCAATAAAGTGCTGCAGGAAGTACAGTGCAAACCCCCTAGACCTTCTGATGTTTATGTCTGTTGGGACACATACTCATCCACATCATAATGTATTTTTTTTTTTTTTTTGCGATGCAGTGTGTAGAATATGTCCTATCCAGCCTTTGCAGGTATCTGCTTAGATGTCCATGCACACTGCATGCATGGGGGCTTTAAAGGTCTTCTGTGCAGTCTCATACTTTTCATCTCCATGAGAAGAAAAATCCATCAGTGTGGTTAAGATATGAGGAGCAGGGGGAAGAGGGACTCCATTCTTATCCGGCTGTGGGTCATAATCTATTCCCTGATGATGCCTCTCTTGTTCTCAGGATTTCGTTATATGCAAACTTTCATGACCAAAAGTCTTCAATAAGATTATCACTTTATGGCTATTATTTATAAAACGTCTGCAACAGTAAGAGTAACTGAGTAAAATCTGTCAGTTTACGATGAGTTAGTATTTTTGTTTCTGGATCTTACCTGTGGTCGCAGTCTCCACAGTTTTTGTTGGTTCATGTGTGCCATCAGTTTCATCTTCCTCTTGACAAAATGCTGCAATGAAACACCTGCCCGTTACTTCGAGAACACTTATAATAATTAGACGGTAAAAACAAAGAAAGATTTGAATGCCTCCTGCATGTTTTTGTTATTGATGTCAACAAACTCCATGTAAATCCAATGTAACTGTCAAATAGCGGCACTTGTTTTCAATTTAATCACACTTATCAAACTGTTATCAATGCAGAAATTGCATTTTGTGATATTTAGTGTCTTGATGGACAAACCCATGTATTTTTTTTTTTTTCATGAAACATAAGGAGGTACAAAAATCTACATATTGGGGATTAAACCACTCATGGTATTTTTTTCCCACCCTTCGGCTGTGATGTCACTGCAGCCAACATCCATAGATACCCTTGAATATTAACTGTGATAAAAAAATAGTTTTCAGTAAAATTACTAGTGTTTACTATTGTTTACCATACTGACCTACAAGACAAGCTCAGACATATAAACTTTTCTGAAATTGTCAAACGTTTGAACCTATGTCTCACTTATAGAAAGACTCTTTGTAAATGTGGCAAACTTCCCATCATAAAGTTTAAATTTGAACTTTGGTATTGCACAAGGCTTGAATTTAGGACTCACTCTATTAAAAGTCCCTTGAGTTATGGTCGGATGGTTTCATTAGGAGACATAGAATTCATCTTCATTGCTACGCCGATGTTAGGTCATTTTTAACTGCATTGTAGAAATTAAGTCAGTTATATTCTGAAGTTTGGGTTGGTCTCTGATGTGCTTGGGTACGCAGTTCCAAAGGGAGGAGGCAGCTAGATAGAGCATTAGGTCTTAAGCTTTGTCCTAATGGGAAATGACAGGAAATCAGTTTCAGCTGATCGAAACTGAGAGGTTTTTAGGGGTCCAATATCCAATGGTGAGGAGTTTGAATTTAATGTGTCGTAGTACTGGGAGCCTGTGGAAGTACCTTTTAATACCTTAAACCTTGTAATACTGGTTATGAGGCGTTGCTCTCCGATATTATTAGAATATCTATAGATCCACTGCAGCAACTTCAGGGCTCAATGCCTCTCCATTTACTGGAGAGCTTCTTCTGTTGGTTCCTGGGGTGAGAACTAAAAGATACTGTAAAGTAGCGCATCTTTGCCTTTAGGCGGTCTTTCAGCTGTGAAACCTTAAGGTCAGAGGGCATCTGAGAGCTTTGATGTTTTTAAAGGCTAAATAAAGATGCATCCATTCAGTCTGGGTCATGAGTCATGCAGGAACTCTGGACTTCCGTCTCAACAAAGAGTTACATCTAAATTGTTACAAAACTATGAGATCTCAAAAAGCTTGTTCCCAAAAAAGTTTTTTAAAACAAAGATATGATCCTATTGATTTTTTGAGAGATTGAACTGTGAAATGTGGGAAATAAGTGTGAGGATAGTCTTATCTTTGAGTCATAAAAAAAAAAAAAAAAAAAAAAAAAAAACAGATTTCAAACAACTGAGCCTCTGGTGTGAAGAAGAGAAACCTGGAAAGAGCTTTTTGGAATTTGACGGAAGTCTGCTCAAATCTGAGACAACATTCCCAAACTCTCTAAAAGCTGAAAATAGGTATCTGTCAAAAGGAAATCATGCGGTCAAAGTGACAAAAGAGGATTAGAGAGAAAAGGAAAAGCAGGGAGTGGAGACTGAAAATGACACCGTAGTGGTTTCTAATAGAGGAGAGCAGTAATTCCCTGCCTTACCTGTCCCAGTCAGACTGCTGATCAACAGCAGCAGAAACAGCAGAGGGGTCTTCAACCAGGGGCCTCTCATGTTAACTTGTGAAGATATACAGTGCCATTCTAAGCCAGCTTCCTCCTGTTCTGTCACAGCATCACACTTCCTGATCTGACTTAACGTTTTGGTTTTTTTAACCAAAGCCACACACACACCCACAGACTCAGTCAGAAACTCTCGGATGTGATGCAACAAGCCGTTTGTGCTTGTCGCTACAAGTCTAATGGCTCCTGAGTTGCAGAGCTATTACATTCCTGTTAGTCAGGTAGGCAATAGCGTTTGGGCAGTGCTGCTTACTTTCAGGAAGAAAAAGGTTGTCCCTTTCAGCCACAGAGGCAGCAGGGAGGCTCTGAATTCACAGTGTGTTCTCTCTGTGGGATCCTCTCCAACGCCGTGTTGTAAATTAACAATCACGTATCTGAGGGTCATGCTGCTTTGATTATCTCTGGGTTGCTGTCCTACTTTCAATAAAAGGAGACTCCAAAATGGTTTCTTCAGGGCACGACAGAGATGGGACAGAGGGGTGTGTTTCAACATGACTGCTGCAGCCAGTCAAACAAGCTTTAATTTCCAAAACAAAGGTGCGATTGAAAGCCAATTCTGCAGGATTTCATCTGAAGGCTGGTATCACAAGAGTTGCGAAATGCCAAAAGCTGTCTTGATGAGTAATGGGAAGAAATAAAAAGAGGCTCTTGAAAAAAAAAGTGTAATTTTTTGTCAAAGCTTGTTTTTTTTTTTTTTATATTTATCTCCTTTAGGCTTTTCAAGTTATTCTTTTACCTTTGAGGGATGGATGCAATGGGAGCAGAAGGGGGTTACATAGCCCAGGCTGAAAGTAGCAGTAAAATCTGAAAGCTGACAACTTTATTGGCTGGTTTTAAGTTACAGCTGATCACTTATAATCACGCTGCAATGAATGAGATGGAGGGTTTAAGCATCAGCAGTCTCATCATAAGGAACAGAGAACAGAGGGACTTTCTTCTAAGCTACAGTTAAACAAAAAAGCTCTGGCTATGATAGAAACAAATAGGAACTCAGTTTGGGAACTCTATTTATCTTAAGACATGAAAAATATATGGTGGTTGATTCAGTAAAATTTGTTGTTCAAAATGTCCTTCAGATCACCACGTTGTTAATAGAAAACTGGCCCAATTCTAGATGTTGAGAGAAATAATTTATTTGTCCTTAATAATCTTGTTACAAATAATACACCATATATTATAACTGGTGATTGATTGACTGATTGATTGACTTTATTGATCTTACAGCGGAGAAATCTACTCGTTACATCAAATCAAATAGTCAAAAGAGAAGAAGAAGGTGCCAAAGCAAGAACAGATGCAGCTTTTTTGTTAGCAGGATTATTATACAGGGTTAATGCACAGAGTGTTTACATGGGTATTTATATAGCTAGGTATTTATCTATACAGCTATACTGGGTATCAGATATAAAGAAACTGGTTATTTCACAGTGTATTAGATAGTAATTACTGGTGACACCAGTAAGACATGGTAAATGCACAAATCTTTCATGTTTCTTATGTGGGACACAGCTCTGGTTATTTATAGGTAAGGGATTTATAAAATAAGTACCATTGAATAATTAGTATTTTAAGTTTCTGAACAACATGTGTGACATTTTGTAAACTATACAAATTAAACCTGGATACAAATCTATTCAGGGTGAAATACAGATATATTATATTTATGTGGTAATATTACCTGAAATAATACTTATAAAAGGACAAAATGTTAGGATCTAATAAAAGATTTAGGTTAAGGCTGTTATGTCTTGAAAAGAGATTTAATAAATCCTTTATACATGTTTCAAAATGTTTAGCCATTATAGCATGCGATCAATTAACACTTCATATCTATATTACTGTTTACATGATAAATTTAATTGGACTCAATAACCACTGTTATGTTAACATCTACAAACCTAGCGCAAGAAACTACGTAAGTGTGACAGTTTGGCCAGTACCTGCCAGTTTCACGTGAGTAGGATTTTATTGTGGGTTTGCAGGAGGTCTAGGGGTGTCATCCTAAAATGTGTCCCTGCATGTTGACTGGTATCTGTAAAACCACATCAAGACAACCTCTAAACTGACCCTCTTACAGTAAAAGTTGTAGACTGACATATTTTACTCTCCACAAGGGCTATTGGTTTTTAGAAGATTAGTAAGGGAGCTATTTTGCAAGCGGTCAGGTTTAGGGCTAAGGTGTGAGTTGAGTTTAGTTCAGGGTTTGGGTGTGGCATGTAATGGATACACATTGTACCTTTAAGAAATCTGATTCAGTATTAGCTGCCTTAATCTTTTTATCATCTTTCTAAAAAATGAAGCAGGCATACAGGAGGAGTCTTACTTGTCTAAACAAGTCACCATGAGCATGATAGAGCTGGGTTGATGCTTTATTTTACAAAACATAGGCCAAGTTTCAGGCCCTCTTAGCATCAGTGATCAGTGTGCTTGATAGCGCCCCACGCTGCAATCCTGGGGTCCCAATGTGCTACATGAAGTCGGCTTAATGTCTTCATGAAGACATGAAGTCTGAATGGACCATGTTCTCTACCTCTGTTGTCAATGTGGCTGCCCGTAGCTGTGGCCATAAAGTCTGTGGTGCTTGTTGTGGAAGCAACCCTCCAAACCACATGCAGTAATGGACGTTGTCAAGCTAAAGAAGGATTTCCTGGTTGGCTTGTTGTAATCCGGAGGCAGCAAGCAGGTAATCGGAGGCCACGTGTGTTGCTGCCCGGATGGTTGCAAAGGTAAAAACTCAGGCCTGGGAGGACCATGGGACCATGGAAAAAGAATACGGGTCAGCCTCAGAGGGATTCTGGCAAACCGTCTGGCTCCTCAAGAGGGGGAAGCAGTTGTTGGTAGTGGCAGCTGCTTACTTTGTCTGAGGACATTATCAGACCGGGAAGTCATTCTGGGCAAGGTGGCAGACTAAGGTGGTGGTTCCTGTACTGGCAGACTAAAGCGGTGGTTCTCCTCCATAAGAGAACTGAGGGGTTGTTGTGACACCATAAAACAACAGGCCTCCCCATGAAGACCAACAAGCTTTCCAAATTAGCCAGGGACATTTGTTGAGAAGTTATAAGTGCTGACTCTTTCAGTTACTGTGTTTTCGTATTTATATTTGCCTTTTTGAGTGTTTCATAAGTAACATAATTACCAACAAAAAATTTTTTTGTGGAAAGTATGACAGTATGAAAGCTAAATCACTGAGGATGTGTATTGGAACCCCTCCACTTCCTGCACTACTGGTCAAGTCAGGGGAAATCCCTTTAGTCTAAGGCATATAAAGTTTGATTAAGCTACGAGGGGCGTTCAATGAGTAATGCCCCCGACCCACTTCCAGATGTTTGATCGAGCTGAAATTTTGCATGTGACGTTATTTAAATCTCTATAGATTAAGTGGCAAATTGCAGCTCTGAATTATTTGTGGTTTCTGACTTACAGGTGTTTGAACTGAGTAAAGTCTGAAATGGAGCCTGTTGAGTGTCAAGCAGTGATCCAGTTGTTCTATTAGAAAAGGACTCACACCACGGGAGACTTTTGATGAAATTAAAATAACTTATGGTGATGATGCCCATTATATGACCTTGCAAAATGTATTACAAGTTTATATTATGGGACATTATCACTATAAGGTACTTTTATTTGATCAAAAGTCTCCTATTGTGTGCGTCCTTTCAAATGCAAAAACATAGACTTCACCCAGTTTTAACACCAGTAAATTAGAAACCACTATTAGTTCAGAGCTGTAATTTGCTATGTAATCTATAGAGATTTAAAATGAAATACTTCACATGCAAAATTTCAGCTCGATCAAACATCTGGAAGTGGGCCAGGGGCATTACTTATTGAACGCCCCTCGTATATATCTAACTTCAAGGGGGCTGGGGGAGAACATTTTTCATATTCTGTACAAGAAAAAAGTTGGGAGTTTGGAGAAGGCACTGTGGAAATGTTCATTTTCAGTCCTAAGGTGCTACCCATTCACTGTAGGAAAGCTTTATGTAATGAAATTTTGTTTGGTATACAGTCTGCGTATAAAAGATGACAATTAAGTTTGTCTAAGAAAAAATAAGCTAAATATAAGTTGTTTTCAGCATTCATTGAAATGTTATTTACAGGAGCTTAGTCTTTGAAATAATAATGCTGTTGATCCCCCAGTGATGGGGCCAGAAATCCCACATGGGCTTTGACCTGAGCTAGATATGGATTTGTCATTGAATTAGCCAATGAAAGATTTTTAAAGGATGTCTGGTTATTTATGCAAATGACCACCTCAGGACTGAATGGAGAGACTATCCAGATTTCTACAGATGGTTAAAAAGATCCAGTAAACAGAAGAGTAGGTTTTGGTATTTATGTTCCCCAGTTTGGGGTCCAGCAATGTCAACATTTATCTGACGGTGTTTCTGTGTTTACAGCTGAGCTGATTGCGATCCAATGCGGAATGTGGTTGGTAGAGGCAACAGAATGTGGTAATTTGTTCTGATTCTCTGTCTACACTGATGTATTTAAAGGATGCCAGATGCAAGGTAAGAGCAGATGTAGTTAGTTAGAATTATATTTTCAATTTTCTGCAGGTCCCAGCTCATGTGGGATTTAATGGGAATTAAATGGCAGATGTTGCTACCAAGAGTGCTGTAGTTTTGTTAATGTTAAAATGAACTAGCAGTGCCAGGATATTTAGAATACTGGATAAAAAAGGAAGTTGCTATTGTTTCAAAAATAGAGCAGAGAAGTATTTAATTGGATGACTCACAACGAAATGAAGTGATAAGGCTTTAGAGTGGGACAAAGTGGGTTAAACAGTGGGCTTTCTGTGATCGGTAAACACCTAGACAGCTGTGGTCATTTTTGTTGCATCTCTGAAACAGTTTTTCATGTTATGCTACAATGTCTTTTGTAAGTAGTAGATGGAAGGGTCGTGTCTAGTGCATTGACTGATCTGGGGTACAATTCCTTTTCATTAAAAACAATACTAGAACATGGAGCTTCCCCAAAAGACAGAGCAAATTGAATGGTTTGTTGTTGACGTCTTTTTTGTTTTGTTTTTTTACTGTGTAATATATTGGAATATATGGGACTGCTATCTCTATCCCAATAATGTTTTAATATGTGTTTTATATCTTATGACCTGAGGACAGCAACACACTAAACGTGTTTAGACCGTCAGAAATAAAAAACATTCCAACTCTTTTTAATTAGACAAACATTTACATACAAACTCGATGGGACATACAAATATGAAACATCCACATTAACCTGCCTAAAAATTTATAAAGCTAAAAAAACTAAAAGAATAATTACAAAATACCATTGTAAGGCCTCTTCAGGCTTACAATAGGTTAAACCACTTAGTCCACAGGTTTAGATAAAAGTAAGTCTTATTTATGGGAAGTTTATGGGAAGATAAATATGTATAACAACAGTTTTTAGGTGACTTATAATTAATTAAACTGGAGAAAGTTTAGATTGACAACTTTTTATCTAAATTTTAACATAGATCCTCGTTAAAAGATTTAGGAAGCGCTAGAGAAGCAAAATATTTCTGTAACCAAAGAAGGACGTTTTTACACTGCCCTAAGTTTCTCATGGGACACATTTCAACGAAGGACCACTTCCGGTTCCGGTGCTTTTTGTCAATACAAGCTCCACACGTGAATTTTGGTGAACAAAATGGTAAGAGTATCTAACTTCATTCTGGATTTATATTTTAAAAAAGTACTTAGATGGTGAGATGATAGTTTGGATGTTTTATTTTTTTTTTGTCTCTCAGCCGAAGTCTCAAAGAGGCAAAGGGGCAGACAAAGTTGTTCATCCGTACAGCAGAAAAGCTGCTTATCTGAACCGGGAAGAGGTCAGACTGAAGAGAAAGGAGAGGTTTGTTTATCGAAGATCAAAACACTGTAGGAATCAGACTTTTTGGCCCTCTTTAATGTGAAGAATTTCTCTTTAATGTTGCAGGATGAAAAATGAAAAAGCAACACGTCTGAGCCACATAGGTCAGTCTGGTATCATTTTTATTATTAAGATAGAATTAGAGTTTTTTTTTCACTTATTGTTCTGTGTTTCAAATCACAGGTGAGAAACTGACGTGGTTTCAGAGTCAGTTGGATCCGAACAAGACGTGTTACACTAAGAAAGATGCTTGTGAGATTATTGAAAGGTACAGGACTGCTTCTGGTGCTCTGAGAGGGGGTGAAAAGTCATAGGTTATCTCTAATGTTGGTCAGTTTTTCTTGAAGGATGACAAATCACAAATTTGTAGTTTGATTACATTCATATAGATTGTCTGCCATATTCAGTTAACATTTGAGGATGATTTAATAAGACCAGTTTTGTTTTTGAACTTTTGGAAATGAATATATTATCACTCCTCCCAGACAAACTGGTATCCATTAAGATTCTCTGTAGCATTCAGTGACCCTAAACCACAGAGTCCCCTGTACATTTCCAAGCAACCATGCATTCCACGCATGCATTTCCATGCATTTTTTTAATTTGTAAAAATTTATTTATTAAACTGGACTACACTCACCTTATAGAGTTTAAAACTAAGAAAACATAAAACAAACATATGTGATGCCTAGATAAGGGGTTTTAAATAGTTCTATTACCTCTTCCATCTTTTAACATGAAGCTGCTAACAGTAGTTTGAATCAGGTGTGTTCAACCCTTAAAAACTTCACCCTACAGCACAGAGTTTCCTGAACTGGCTTTATTTTTTATTCTTTTTTTATCCAGTCTTGGTTTTTATAATGTGCGGTTATGTGACTGATTTTGTGTCTTTTCCTCCAACTGTTAGGTACCTCCACAGATTTGATTCAGAACTTGAGCAGATCGAGTTGGTGAATGGGATCAAGGGTCGACAGGGTCGTCTCCATGGTGCCAGAGAAGCGATAATTAAGCAGACTGTAGAGCGAGAGCGAGCACTGTTTGATGGTGTTGGTATAGGTGAGTCATCACCAACATCTTCTTGTTGTGCACGTCGCTGTTTTTAAAACAGAGTATACTTTCTCGGTCATGCTTGTGAGCACAAACGAGCTATTTGTCTTTGGCCCTCCGTCGCTCACATCATGATCACCAGTTCAAACAACCACAGTTCGTAGAAACAATGCTTGAAGGGATTTTCCGTCTGATTTCATCGTTCCCTGTTCTAATTGTTTTCAGAAATTCCAGACATCATCAACACAAAGCAACTGAAAATGTTCAGGTCAGTGTTTGAACCATGCTTCAGATAACAGTAACCACAGACACAATAACTGGCAGCCTTGTCTACATAATGCTTTGATATGTAAGATAGAGGAAAAATTTCTTGAGTGTTGTATTTTACAGGCAATAGAATAAACAAATGTTTTCTTTGGCAGAGAATGGACCGGAGATCTGAGGAAACTTCCAAATATTAAAATGCGTAAAATATCAAATAAAGCTTTGGACACAAAGACAGAAGAAAAAGAGGAGTCGGAGCATGAGGGTGATGAAGAAAATGAACATGATCATTTGGACGATGAGCTCAACGACCCGGAGGAGATGTCAGAGTCCCACTAACACTCACCTCATTCAGTCTGTGGCTGCATCACAGCTTCTGTAGAACTTCTACGCCATGTGTGGAGAGGCTGCTGTTCCACAAGCGTCCAGCAGACAGTGCTAGATATAAAATTAAACCATACCAACCTTGTATGTCTCATATTTTAACAACTTAAAAAAAGCTTTTTTCTCAGCGGTTCTACATTCATTGTTTATTGCACAGACAACAAAGTTTTCCTTATTAGCCATAGATTTTCCAATCAGAGCTATGAAATAACTTACATACGCTGTGGATTTAAGACAAAGGACAATCTGTAACTGAACTGTGACACTGGAAACCACAACTGTAGAAAATTGAACACAAATCAGCAATATTCCCTTTTTAAGGTTTAAATAAACACCTCTGCACTCTAAAATAAAATGGGAACAAAACAAAAATTGTAAAATATCTATTTTAACATTTAAATTACTGACCTGCAGAGAGCAAAAAAACCCCACAAACAATAACAAAAGCTGCCCTAATACATTTCAAAGGTCACAGATTTAGATTCAGACTGGAATAAAGATGGAATAGCTATAACGACTAGTCTTTGGTATCAGAAAACCTGATTGTCCAGCAGTGTTTTAAGGCCTCAGCATGCTTCAGTTCAGAGTCTTTACAGCGTCTGATTTTAAGGTTTTACAAATCTTTTTGTTTATTTAATCACATTATACCCCTAACTCTCTATTAGTTTATGTAACCGCAATAAAGCTGAAAAAAAAATTACCGATTTGCTGCCTTTTGTCGAATTTTGCATTTGTATTCAGTCCCTCTGTGCCAAAGCTTTGATGAACATCTAATTCCAGTAGCAGGTCTTTTGGAGCTTGTCTCTTTAACTTGACATATCAAAAGACTAAAATCATTGTTTTATTCTTTTTTTTTTTTTTTTATTAGCTCAAATTGAGACTGAATGGAGAGATTATGGTTTCATTTTGGTTGACAGTATCTTTTATTGTTGCCTTGCAGAAAGGTAACCCTCTCCCTAAGGTTTGGGATTAATAAAGTAGAATAGTGTTGTGCATGTAGGCCAAAAAGCTAAATGTTGCTCTCAGCTGATCTTAGCAACTTCCCAGTGGTTTAAAACAAACTCGTCAAAGTCTGTTGGCAGTTCTCCGGCCAACAGACTTTGCCACCTGATCTGCAGCTCGCTGAGGCTCCACTAAATTTACCAAGGACCATTGCTGAGAACTCTGTACGATGTTCAATGCTTTCTATATTGTACCACATCCTCCTCCCTGACCCACCTGCTGTGTTTATTGCTGATCATGATGCTATTTGTTCACCACTGTTTATTAACATCTGAACTTATAGAAATAAAACATATAGATGGCCTCTGTACTAATGATCTTAATTATGTCTGACAGTTGATGTCTAAACAGGATTTTCTACAGAGGTATCAGGTTAAAAGGCTGCCTACCAAACTTTTCTCCATCAGTTTCATTATTGTTGAAGTCCTTGTTTTCCTTTATGATGCAAACTCCCATTAAAATAAAGGAATGTAAAATATTTCAGGGGGTCTGAGTACTTGAGAAACTACACCAGTCTCAGTGTAAATGTGGTGTCCTGAGGTTTCTAAGGGTTTGAAGCCTTAATTTACATCAGAATCTGAATGTTTGATTCATTTAAAGATGTGATGGACTCTTTGTTACATGGTAATAACTATATAGTCTTGTATCAGTGGGAGTTGTGCAAAAAAGATCTTTGAATTTTAACTTGATTTTGAGTTTTATTAGGCTTTCTTGAAGCAAACTGAGACCTTTGATTGAAAGCATCCTGAAGAGTTTTCACTGTCATATCAGTGCAGGTTTACAAAGTGCATACTTTAAAATGGCATCAGCGTACCATTAAATCATGTCCATGCTTTATCTGCTGTCTCCTTTTCATTGCCCCACCTGCTCCTTTCTTCCAATTCTTTAAAGGTTTGTACCGTCTTATGGTGACAGCTGTCCTACTTTGGATCACTGCAGGACAGGGTCGGTAGCATCATCTGCTTCATCTAGAAGAAGCAATCACTGCAGAGGAGAAGAAAGATACACTTCTGCATGAGTCATGATCATGCCATGCTCACGCCTGGCTCCCTCCTGAAGAGGAGCACAGCATGATTCAGCTTTCAGACGGGGTTCTGATCCGGCGCCACAGCAGCCTCCACAGACATGTCAGGGTCTATCTCTGGAGCCGGAGCGGTCTGGGCCTCAATAGCTTCGTGCTTCCCGTTGGCGAGGACGCCGTGCCGGGCCTGAGGGTTATGCAGGTTCTTCTCCGGGCAGTTCTGCACCGTGATGATGCGGTTGAAGGCCTTGAGGCGACGCCACAGCTGCAGGTAGACTTTGCTCTGGATGTACATGAAGATGAGACCGCCTGTGAAGCCGATGGCCACCACGATCAGCTTGGTCCAAAATGGCCACTCCAGCACACCTGTGGACACAGAAAACCACACAGCTGCTGTCAGCTGGGCCGCAGGCTGAGAGCTGGGAGAGGTCATGATGGGGTGGTTTGCTGAGCTGTGCTTACCCTGAGCTGAATAATACTTCAGAAGAGAAACTCTCCGTAACTCGTCTGCAATCAAGATTGGGAGTAATTTCTCTATTTGTCTGAAGCCATTATTTCGAATTGACACTGTGGTTATTTTTCTATGCATCTAAAATATGACGGCACAACACTGAACACAACGAAGCACTAAAGGGGGCTCCTTTTTGTTTTCAAAGTGAAAAACAAAATGAAGTCACTCAAACTACACTTCTGTGGTGTTATTAGAAGAAGATACTATGCTCCAATAATTCAGATCTAAATGAGGATTGAAAGCTTTTCAATGTTTATTGTCTGTTATGTTCCATTAGCACTTTAAACTTGTTTCTTCTTTGACTGGTTTCTGCCTACTTGTGAAACTTTTACAATTTCTAATTTCAGCTTAAGTCAGGAGGGCATTGTCTTCTTTCCAAAAGATTTCAGACTCTTCCAAAGAAAACGGTGTAATTTAATTTAACAATCGCCAGGTGGTGCTGCACCTGATTTCTAGGAAGTACAGTTTTCTCCTGTCCTTGTTTGAAGTTCTATAAATGTTGTACAGTAATCTGTTTAAAGCCTTCTTAGACCAAACCGATCTTTTATTTTAGAACTGGGTGCACTGGTCTGACTTTATAGTGAGTTGTTTTTCTAATCTGCACAATGTCAAATTTACAGTAAACCAAATATTTTAGCAAATGGCACCAAAGGTCCTATAAAGAAACTTGACCGGTCCCTGGCTTGTTAACATCTGGCTAATGATCATTAATCAGTGCAGCTGTTATTTTGAACATATTATTAATCCTTTATAAAATAATCAGTTAAAATAGGTAGGAGGCTTTGCATCATTTGTTGCAGGACCAGCAAGTTCTGCAACTGCTTTTTCCCTGCTGCCACAAGACTGTTGAAACTCTAATCAAGTGTCAAATCAAAACACTGCATCACGCTATAAACATTATAGTTGCACTAAATGGTGAATCTTTAAAATAGAACTCAACTCAGCGTTTCTACAGAATTTTGCACCATTTACTGTATATTTATTTATTTTTGCACTGCTCTGATCCTTCCACATCAATGCCTTGTGCACCAAGTCTCTCCTACACTCTGTTTATTTTTTAATCACTGCTGCACTTTATAAATGGAAATGTTCATTTCAATGCTAAGCTGCTGCTCATTCACTGTCGGAAAGCTGTATGTATCGAAATCTTGTTTTGTATACACTGTGTATACAAAATGACTTTAAGGTTTATCTAAGTCTAAGTATTCTTTACTTGAAGGCCTAAGCCAGGGGTGTCAAACTGGTTCCAGAAAGGGCCGTGTGGCTGCAGGTTTTCTTTCCAAACAAGCAGTAGCACACCAGACTGCAGTCATCTCATTAAGTGAGTCCAATCTGAACATGATGACCTGATGAGATGACTGGAATCTGGTGTGCTATTGCTTGGTTGGATTGAAAACCTGCAGCCACATGGCCCTTTCTGGAACCAGTTTGACACCCCTGGCCTAAGCTGTCGTAAGCTAAGCTACATTTAATGGAATCGGTTTAATGTTTTGGAAAAACTCAGGGACAGCCAAGGCTCAACCCCACCATGAACTACAAAGTCCTGGAAGAACAGCTCAGCTGTCCACAGTGGAGCCAGCATTACATAATAATGAACTTAGAGAACAGATAATTAAGACAATCTAAAGCTTGCTACTTCAAACAAAAACCAAAAGTCTCTTGGTCAGGCCCTGTGATGGACTGGGAACCTGTCCAGAAAGATGAGGCTGTTTTGGCCACAGGGAAATAAGGGATTAATTTTTTATTTTTTTTTATTTTCAGATATTAGAACAATGTGACATCAGCAAAGCATGGTAGTGGCAGCATCCTACTTTAAGACCTTCTCAGTGCCAACAGTAAGCTGGGTGGTACAACATAATAAAAGAGGCCTACCAGCTGTACCAAGAAGAGCAGTCAAAACATTTCAACTAAAAAATTGTTGATGGCAACAAAAACAATGTGAATTAAAAAATATCCTCAAACAATTAAAAGGCTGCTACAGAGTTTCAGTTTTCCGGTCATTACTTTTCTTAAAAGAGGTTTGCAGGTTTAATTGAATTAGTAAGAAAAAAAAAATATCCTTTTCATAAATGAAACAATTCTCCTACAACTTCTCTTTTCATAGACAGGTTTCACTTGATCCATCTGCAGAACATTGAAGCCTGCTGCATGAAAGGTGTCAGCTGGTAGGGACAGTTTGTGGTCATCACATCTAGTTAGTAAATGGGTTAGGAAGCTTTCTGGTGCATATGATCATCTGAATCTTAATTCCTTATACCTTGTACATCTCTTTGTTTTTTTGTTATATATAGCCAAAATGTCAGAAAGGGGGTGTATATAATTTTTTATTGGATACATTAACCTTAAACTTTCATTTGAAATTTCCAAAGTGTTTTTTTTTTTTCCTCTATCTCCATCTGATTTCAGTGTTTGGAAGTAACAGGCTCTGATGTTTTTTATTGTGATTCAAAGGAAAATACTTAATTGTATTTGGAGGATGGATGGATGGATGGATGGATGGATGGATGGATGGATGGATGGATGGATGGATGGATGGATGGATGGATGGATGGATGGATGGAT